TCCAAGTATTTGTTCCATTTGTTTGATTCCCAGAGCAAGCAGCTGTTATGTATGCAGGCTTCTGTACACACGTTCTGCATACCTCAGTCACTGCTCAGAGAGTTGAGTCACAGAGAGAAGCAAATTTACCTTTAGTGTGTGTGTGTGTGTGTGTCTCTCTCTCTCTCTCTCTCTCTCTCTGAAAAATAGTGTGTGGGGGGGAGAAGAATCCAGATCAAGGGTGGGATTTGCAGAAGCTTTGGACATTGAGAGCTCTGCTCACACTGAAGCAAAGCTACAAGATCCTTTCTACACCGACGGGGCTGGAGGTGGGTCAGTACTGAGTGCAGTTGAAAAATCCCGCCTCCAAGGACAAGGTTCTTGGCACAAGGTATAATCCTCTTCCTCGTTCACAAGGTGTTGAGAGCTCCTGGCCTCTGTGCTGCACTAGCTCCTGTTTCCTGAGAGCTCTCTAAGTAGTACCTGAAAATCTTCAGGACTGAGTATATGGGGAGGAAATGCTGAATTGGACTTCAGATCCTGGGTTTGTCCTAACCAACGTGTAGGGTCATTTGGAATGCCAGACTGCTGCCTCAGATTTGCTCCCAGCCCAAGGTCTCGGGCAGGCTTCACAGTCTATATTGGGTCATATGCTGCTGTGACACTGCTGTTATCAGCACCCAGACTCACTAGGTCAGACCCACCGGAGGGTTGTCCCAGCTGACACTTGGAGTTGGAGATAGCAGTGTAGACGCACCTGTCAGCAGTAAAGTCCCTCCCTAACCAAGGTGAACTGTTCAACTATATGGACCCATGTGGTATGAACCCTCAGAAAGTGGGCTGTGTTCGACATTCCCCTGTAGCTATGCCTATCAGCTCAGTGATGCCATGCGGAATTCCCTCATCCAGGTGCACAGGATGACCTGAAGAAGGTGACCAATACAGCCTATTCAATGGTGAAACAGTATGGGATGGTACCCAGCATTGGGCAGATCTCCTTCCCAGATGCGGAGAGCAGCATCGGCATAAGTCGGCGCCCCTTCAGCCAAGGGTTCCAGCAAATGATGGATCATGTAAGTCTGTTGGGGCAAGTGCCTGTTCATGCTTTCCTTCTCTGGGTTTAGTTAAAAACAAACACTTGACTTGTAGTCAAGTGCCATATCTGCTCAGCTGGAGAGAAGGGAGCTTCTGGAGCCCAGTGCTGCTGTCTTGTCTTGCTGCTTGTTAGGAACATTCATTTGAGGCATTAGGAACAGACAAAACTCACCTGAAGGTGTGATTTCTCCACCTGATGCCCTGTGCCTGGAACTCGAGGGAGCTGCCGTGGAGTAGCCTGGAGGTGTCTAAATTCTTCAGCCTCTCAGTCAGGAAGGGGCCAGGCTGATGACATGTAGTGAGACTGAGTGTAGTGTAGTGACATGTAGTGTGGAGGGGAAAAATGGGGGTGCAGATGCTTGGATCCTGTCACATGAGTTCATCCATACCCTGAACATTCCCACAGCCCTCCAAGCAATGCTGCTTGGCATCTGGGTCACGAGAGGAGGTGGAGGTGACGATGCCAGCTGCAGAATGTGCGAGCCTCCAGTCTCTGGATTCCAGGGGCACCTGACTTGGACAGATGCGGTGTTCATAATAGGCCTGGTTGGAAGTTTTTTGCCAACTATGTTTTGATAGGAACTTGGGCTTCCATTTAAATTGCACTTTTTGCAAAGGTATCTCTTGCCTGCAGGCATCTTTGACTCGTTGAAAAATCTGAACCCCTGGAGGCTTAAAACTAATTCAGAAATGCTCCCATATTGTCTTGTTGGACTTGTGCTGCAGGTACATCCAGCTCCTGGCCCCTGAACTGGACTGCATCTCCCATGACACCCCAAGGCCAGAAGGGGGGGGTTCACAGGATGCACTGTGGGTATTGTTAAGTCACTATCCTTGGTAGAAAGTCTTTGGATTTTGATTTGACTTTTTTTGTCAGTTCTTTTCATGGGTGGGAAACATTTTTGATCAACTTCAACTCATAAGTCACTTCCCCAAGTCCTGCACTGCATTTACCCAAGCATAGTGTGTATCACCATCTGTCCCTGCTCTTATTACCATCTTCTCTCACTCCTCCCAGGAGGCCAAGGTGCTGGTGACTCAAGCTTACAGACACACAGAGAAACTCTTGCTGGACAACCGGAACAAGCTGCAGATGGTATGGACTCTCTGGTTATCTCTGGCACCATTTCTAGAGAGCAAGCATAGCAACAACCTGGATCCCTCCTGCTCAGAATCCCGAGAAACATTCTTGCCATTTAGGAAGTTCTGTTCCTAGACTCATCTTTGTGCCCCACAAACTCCAACTCTGAAGGAGCAGTGTGAGGGGAGCTTGCTTGCCATTGTCCAAAGCACTTTGGTTTTTCCATTGGTCATTTACTTGACACCCTTCACAAGCCTCCACCACAGATCCCGTACGTGTGTAGGACAGAAGGTGGCATGGAGGAAGAGCGCTGCTTGGAAGTTCTGCTGATCCAGCTAGCATGATTTTCCTGACTTTCCTAGGGCCAGCACCCAGAGCTTGCTGCTTTAGTTTATCAATAAGCCCTGCAGATTGGGGCAGGGGGTACACTTGGTATTATAGGATGCTTGATCCCACCAGGCCAGCCAAAGCACTCTAGGCTAGCTGTTTCTCACTTAGCAGCAGGTCTCAGCAGAACAAACAGTTGCATACTAGCTTGCAAAGTCAGGTGCTTGTGGACTGGGTCACCGGGTGCATCTGTTCTGCCACTGTGCCCATATGGGTACAAAGAGGCTGTGTGTTGCTGATGGCCCTAACTGGGCTGCGGGAGTGGTTGGAGGTGTATCCTGGAGATGCATTGCTCCAGGTACGTGCTCCTTGCAAGGCTGCTCCCCTTCTATCTGCCACCTGGAGCTGCTGACTCTGGACCACCCCCTCAGCCCTGTTTTCTCTTTCTAGCTGGCTGATGCCCTCCTGGAAAAAGAAGTGATAAACTATGATGATATCGAAGTCCTGATTGGGCCTCCTCCCTATGGTCCAAAGAAAATGATCGTTCCTCAGAGCTGGCTTGAAGCGGAGAGAAACAAGCAGGAAGCAAGAGATGAGGAGACACCCCAGCAACCACCAGGCCCAGAGGAGGAGGAAGAGCTTGGTCGGAGACTAGTGTGAGACCCTTCCCAACCCAGGGGAGGAGGATTTCAGACGTATCTTCCTAACAGCCAACTTAATCCTTCCCCTTTCAGCTCGAGTCAAAGGCACAGAGAAACTTGGGCCACTGTTATCCCATCCTTAACTACTGAGTATCTCAGCCCTGGATTAAGAGAGCTTCCCTCCAGGAGACATTTGCTTAGAATGCCAAGTCGGTTAACTCCAGGACAGGGGAGACTTGGTACCAAGGCTTAGTTGGGTGAACAAGGGGTGATGGCTTTAAATCTCTTGGGCACAGAGCAGTGTAAACATTTTTGCAGGCACAACTTCATCTGGAGGTCTTGTAAATGCTTGTTGTATTACAAGTGTCTGCTGCCATTCCCTTCAGTGCCAGGGCTGCTGGAGTGGTTCTTTGGCCATGATAATAGGATAGAGGGGCACCAGGCAGTTTGGACGTGGTAGCTGCTATGTGATGTAACCAACTTCTTGTTTGTTTGCTTTTTATCCGCTGTTGGATTTAAAAATTGTATACAGACTGAGACCAATGTTCACTGGAATAAAATGGTCTTAATGTACTGCTGTGTATATGTGGACTGCTAGGAAATTCAGGGTGTTCCAGCCTGATGTGACACCTGTTTGCAGGTACTCAGTTCTACAGGGTAAGAGGCCTCCTCTGCATAACTGATCTTTGTTGTATGTAGTGGTGTGGAGTCTGCAGTTCCTGGGGGAGGACAAGCAAGCCCTCTGAAATATAATGTTACTACATTACCAGACCAGGACTCTGAACACAAGTCCACGGGGGAAGTTGAGTCTAATCATACCATTCACCTTCTCAATGGGAGCTCAAGAAACACCGTTCTATAAATGCTCTGAAATGGAAGCAGGTGTGTGTGTTTGTTCAAGTTTCTGTAGGGGGCTGTAGACTGAAATCCTTCGCTTGTGTTCAGACCTCTTAGTCTCCTGCAGAACAAGCTGGGGATGTTAGAATGGCTATTTACTATTCAGCAAGAGAACACCTGAAATAGCTGTGCAGGAGCATCGGCAGTCCTTTGCTGGCTGGCTGCAAGATATTCTTTTCTCTTAGCATGGATTTTTCTGTGGCGGTTATGGTCTGTGTTCCTGAAAGACTTTTGTTGTCCATCAGGTCCCATAATAGCGGGCACCAGGCTTCCATTGGTGGAAAGCCAAACACGAGTCTGCCAGTGTTATCCTCGTTGCGATGTAAAGGAGGAAGTTACGCACCATCACTCCACTTGCCTTGACAAAGGTCCTGCAGAATCCTTGCCCTGGTGGTCTCGAGAGCGGGGCTGGAAATTGACCCTTTAGGGCAGTGGTTCTCAACCTTTTTTGTACCAGGACCCATTTGTAAACCTCAGTGGTCAGTCCTGACCCACTGTCCCTCACTCCCAACCTACTGCCCCCAGTGTGTGGGGCAGAGGGTGGGCATATGGGGCAGCAGGGGCCCCCTGCAGGCTGGAACTACCAGCCTGCAAGGGAAAAGCCACCGTTTTCCACATTTTTCCTCTTTAAAGGAGAATCCATTTTTAGAGTTTGACTGTTTTTTAAAGTTCGTTCACGACCCTTTCATATATTCTTATGACCCACAGGTTGAGAAATGCTGCTTTAGGGTATGGTAGGACAGTGCCACTGGCTTAGTCCAGTGCAGGGAGGGTGGCTCTGCACCCTGCACTGGTTATTGAGAGCATGGAGGAGAGATGCAACACATTCTAATTGATTTTTTTTTTTTCCCCTTTTGCCCAAGCTCTCAGTTCCTTAGCATGGTGGTTTTCCTCTTTCCTCTCCGACGTCTTAAACCTCACCTGCTCTAGGAAACGTACCCTGGTCTTGGCTTTTCCAGAACCACCGGAGCCGTAGCCTCAGTCCATCCTATAGACCCTTGGAATTTGGAGTGACCGTGTTATGAGACAAGGTGGGAGCAGGAGCATGACAGGTACTTCGGGACACTTCTCACTAAACAGTCGGCTGTCAGGGGACAGAATCCTTGCTAGCCTGCCATGTTTGATGGGCTGCCTGTGCGACGGTGCCATCTTGTGGTGCTTTGTTACTGAACCACCGAGAAATGGAAAATCCAGGTGCCCGGGTCGTCGAACCCTGCAGAGCCACTGTGGCCGTACAGCCCGTCGGCTGGATGAGGATGGCCCCATGTGTTTAAGTTTTCTCGGGGTGTCTCTCCCCAGTCAGCAAACTGCGAAGCAGAAGTGATTTGAGGCTCAGATGGCTTGTCTCAGGCTCAGCAAATGCAGCTGCCACCCCAGCCCTCTCCTTCCATTAGGTCTTGTGTTGAGAGAGTGAGTTAGCCTTGCCCAGCACTTGGCATAGTGAACCTACTCCCCTATTTGCTCGTCACTGGGGTCCCTCTCAGCGAGGTAGACGTGGTAGAGAGCACCTATTCCAGCATAGCCCTTCCTAGCTGAAGCATAGTTTAGTTCCATCTCTGCCCAGGCCTGTACAGCAGGTGTGTGCAGGGGCTGATTGACAGGAGGAGCAGCTAGTTAAGGAGGAGGAAGTTGCACTCCTGTATGGCAACGGCAGCTCCTATCCATGCCATAGTTCTGCTCCGGGCACGTCTAGTGCTGGAGCTAGAATTCTACAGCAGTGGTCATAGACACCATGGGGTGGGGGGTGGAAATGAGCCTAGCACAACGGGGGAAACGCTGTCCTGCAAGCATGTGCATTAAAGAAGGGGTGGGGGTAGGAAGCTCATTCAGGCTGCCCCTCTCTCCATTCCCTGGCTGAATGGATTTCTCAGTCTGAAGGGAAGCAGTTACTCATGCTGGGGTAGAACATAATGCATGCAGTAGCTGTGCAGAGGGCGAATCTGGGTAAGCAGATGTGCACTAAAGAAGGGAGGGGTGAGGCTGAGTGGGCAGCTTCACTGTTCTGGAGGAGAAACGCACATTTGTGCCATAATTGTTGATCCACATGCATCTTACCTGACACATATCCGGTATCAGTACATATGGGCAAGGATGGCATAGTAACACTTCTGTACAGTTTAGTCCTCACACCTATGCAGTGCCTTTGACACTGTTTCCCACCCCATTCTCATTAAAAAGCTAGGCAACTGTGGCATTGATGCCTACACAGTCAGGTGGATTGCAAATTGGCTGAGGGGTCGTACTCAGAGAGTGGTGGTGGACGGGTCACATTCGACCTGGAGGGATGCGAGCAGCCGAGTTCCCCAGGGCTTGGCCCTTGGGCCTGCACTGTTCAATTTCTTTATTAGCAACTTGGACGAGGGGGTGGAAAGCACCCTGTTCAAATTCACAGACAACATCAAGATTTGGGGTGAGGTGGGCACACTAGAAGGGAGGGACAGCATACAGCTAGACCTGGACAGGTTACAGGGGTGGGCAAACGAGAATAGGATGGGATACAATACTGACAAGTGAAGGGTGCTGCACTTGGGCAGTAAGAACCAGCAGCATACTTACAGGCTGGGGAACTCTCGTCTCAAAAGCACAGTGGCAGAAAAAGATCTTGGAGTCATTATCAATTCCAAGATGAACATGGGCTGCCAATGCGAGGACACGGTCAGTAGGGCTAACTGCATCTTGTCATGCATCCACAGATGCATCTCGAGCAGGTCCAAGGAGGTGATCCTCCCCCTCTATGCGGCACTGGTCAGGCCGCAGCTGGAGTACTGCATCCAGTTCTGGGCGCCGAACTTCAGGAGGGATGTGGACAGCATAGAGAGGGTCCAGAGGAGGGCCACTCGCATGATCCGGGGGAGCAGGGCAGGCCCTACGAGGAGAGGCTACGGGACCTGAACCTGTTCAGCCTCCACAAGAGAAGGCTGAGGGGGGACCCTGGTGACCTTCTATAAACTTACTAGTGGGGACCAGCAGGGAATGGAAGAGACCTTGTTCCCCCGAGCGCCTCCCAGAGTAACAAGGCATAACGACCATAACTTGTTAGAGAGTAGGTTCAGGCTGGACATCGGAAGGCACTACTTCACTGTCAGGGTGGCTAGGATCTAGAACCAACTTCCAGGGGAAGTGGTGCTCACCCCTGCCCTGGGGGTCTTTAAGAGGAGGCTTGATGATTACCTGGCTGGGGTCATTTGAGCCCAGTTTTCTCTTCTGCCCAGGGCAGGGGTTCGGACTAGAAGATCTGCAAGGTCCCTTCTGACCCTATATCTATGAATCTATGAATAGCCTCATTTAACAGGGGCCTAAACCCCTGAGGCATCCATGAGATTTGCCCCTGGAGTTGTATGCCCTGGCACAGGCCGCTAGCTCCAGTTCCAGCTCCTTTCTCTGCATGGGCAAATATGCGTGTGCTATGCAGGGAAGTGCTTGGTTCTAGAGCCTAAAATAACTCCAAGGGAAATGTGTGACTAGGCAACCTGGAATACGTCAGTGTCCCTTTATAGAGTAATAGGATTAATTTTTGTGTTTGAGTTCCAAGAATATACTGCACCACCTCAGTGCAAAGTTTGAGAGGTGCAGGGACAGCTTGTTTCTGTCATCTCACCTCCTTCATCAGCAGCAAACAAAAATGGAAATTTTCAGCTGCATGTAGGTTCTGCATCTGCTATGCGAGCAGCACCAGCGAAGGGGTTGCTGTCTGGGACTGGCAGTTTCTCTGCATAATTATTTTTGGATAACAAAGCACACTGATTCCAAATTGGGAGCATTGTTCTGAGCTATGTGTGGTCTCTTGTTTAAAGCAGGGGTGGTTTAAACATCTGCCCTGAGTCCTAGACACCCCCTCCCTCTGGATTCTGCAGGAGAAAAGCATACTCACAAGAACAGTCTGTTTTTTTTTATTTTTTTTTATTTTGTTGTTGTTGTTTTTTAATGCTGAGCCTCCGCTCCTGTCTAACAGCTGTGGATACCTGGGGAGAGGGTTCATGGGAGCCTGTCATTCCTGAGTTTGACACCCTGGCCTCTAGGTCCTGACACTGTTACTCAACCTTTCTCAATGCCTCCATTTCCCTATCTATAATAGGTGAGTAATGGGGATTGACGAGAGCCACTTCCACGTAGTGATCCCTGGTAATGTCGCGGACAGCCAAGAGCTCCTGAATTGACCAAAATACCAAAATGCACAAAAATAAAGATATAGACACTGTTTTTTGTCATATGAAAGAAAAAACAGGTGGGTATTGACTGGAGTGGCTAAGTCTCGGGACAAAGAGCAGCTTTCGGGCTCTTAATTTCTCAGCCTGGCTTCTCAGTAGCCTATTCTACTGCACATTAAAGCATCACAACAAAAACTGTTAATATTGCTAATATGCTAGTGCTCAGTAGAGTTGGCCTACTGCTCATTAGGCATCACTAAAAGTGTTTGCTTTTGCTACTGCACATAAGGGCAGCCTAATGCACCTTTATGTAGTACCTCATATTAGAGGTAGTAAATTTAATATGCATTAATGAATGTGTGGACACGCCCAGTGTGTGTAAGGATGCCCCCCTCCACCAGGACTGCAGCAGCCAGGGCCCTGTAGTTCAGACAAGACGTCACAGCCTTGTCTGTTCCACTTAGCATACCTGAAGCAGCATTGCCAGATCCTAAATATGAAATTATCATATTGAAAGCTCAAATTATT